TCTTATGAAAACCGATACTCCAACAATCGTGGAAATGATTCCGACGAATGACATCACCGTAATAAAGCTGATGGGTCCAAGTCTTACCGCAAAGACTATTCAACACCGATATCTACACCCTACTCACGACGTGCCGACTATCCGTCGAAGAAACCCAACTTTCAACAAGATAAACGTAATGAACTTTACAGAAAAGCATCTAACGTAAGAGGATACTACTCGAGGGAGGAAATGCGTAAACCTCCTAAAGTAACGTTTAATTTGGACAAGAATGATGAGCAAAATTCGAGTAGTGACGATGAAGGCGTTAGAGCATTATCAGCAGTTGCCGACTATGTCGAATCTGACATCGAATTGTCGGATGATGACATGCCAGAAGCCATCATGGCAACCCCCGAAAATTGCCCTGGAATTGGGATGAAGCCAAACACCGAGCCGGACGAGAGAGAACAATCAGATTATATTCTAAATATTCCAACTTGTAGTTCGGACGAAGACGATGGACTGCCAGGATTTTACTCGACAGCTCTAGTGAGGACGACGATTTTGACCTACACAAGGGTGGACCCCTGGGATCGCTACTCGACAGCTCTAGTGGGGATGACTACGATGCCCTACCCGACCTAATGTCCGACAGCGACTCCGACGAAGATGAAGCTTTTAGTGATAAATTTAATGAGGACATTATCTCTTCACCAATCAAAGCCATAGACTCTGAGAGTATTGTCGGCCAAAGAGCATCTACGACTGACGAAATAACAGCAACTGGACCTAGTGGGACTCTGGACAATGGAGCCTCAGTCCACATTATTGACGATTTGGAGTTGATATCAAACGCAAAACGTCACTTCACAAACGTACACCTAGCTGACGGGACTATTGGAATCGCAACTCACGCAGGGCAATTGAGTGACGCTGGAAGGGCTATTCATGGACCAACTCTAAAGACCAACCTAATTAGCGTCCCCCAATTAACCAAGGCAGGATACAAGATCTACATGGATGACACAGTCTGCCTCTTTCTATCACCCCAACACCTAGGATATAATTGTGAGCAGAAGCAAGGCGTTTACGTCGTACCCCTGGAATTTTTTTCAAAACTTTTGCCTACGCCGCCAGTTGGCATGAACGACTAGCGCACCCGGATCATTTACCCAAGGACCTGCCACCTATCGACTATCATGTGAACTGTGAGCCCTGTATCATGGGTAAACCTGTCAGACGTCGGACACGAAAGATCAGAAAGAATGGTCCATCCGAAACCCCAATGGAATTACTCTATATTGACCATATTGGGAAATTTAAGCGGAGCATTGGAGGAAACTGCTATGGCCTAACTCTCATTGACGACTGCTCCAATTTCGAGAAAATTTAAACCACTATCCACCAAGAAGGAGCCAGTAGTATATGACGCCTTACTCGGAGTACTAGACGATTTAACAGTACTTAGTGGAAGGAAAGCGAACATTTTCCAATTCGACCGAGGCTCGGAATTTGTGGATAAGTAAGTAAAGACTAACTTACGAAGACTTGGCTACGATGTTCGATCAACACCGAAAGACTCGCCACAATACAACGGAAAAATTGAACGGAGTCACCGTACTAATTTAGGAAGAGCTAGGGCGACTCTACACAACTCCGGCTTAGATGACGAATTTTGGAGTGAGGCATACCAACATGTCACAGACGCTCATAACAACGTCGGGAGTAAGAGGAACCCGACAACGCCAATTTAAAGATTCACTGGCCGAAAACAAATTATAACCGTTTTCGAACCTTCGGCAGCAAATGTTTATGGCAGAAGACGATTATAGCCGTGGAATTGTAATGGCTAACCCCCAGCGAACCAGCTCTGATACGTTCCGAGTTTTTTGTCCAGAAACCAACAGAGTGTCACGAACCAGAGATATACGATTTTTTGAGGATGAATTTTACATATAGAAGGATGGACAATATACGGAGCAGACTACAGGAATACAAGCTGAGCAGACGAACGACGACTTATCGACCGTATCTTCACAGCCTATGGAACCTGGCGAAAATACTCCAGCCGCCTCTAGTAAACGCCATCGAGAACCGAAGTTTTTTGACGCTTTATCAAATCAAATTGTTCTACTGCTTCCAGAGAACAAACTGTCACAATATCCGCTCACATCTCAAAGCGGAAAAAGGCCGGTCGCCGATCTTCGAGAGAGGTCACAAATTTGCAAATTTCAGATAATCCAGCTTGGATGAACAACAAGAGCAATATCAGTTGTCGCTCTCGACGAAGAAGAAACTCAACAACTGCCTTTTCAGCTACTCGACATCAGCAACAACCAACGCCGGCGAGGCCGGCGCAGATCCCAATTCCCAAGACCTTCCGGGTGATTGTCAATTTTTCAAATGAAAAGGAGTGGATGGACGCAGCGACCAAAGAAGCCCGAGACCTAGTGGAACGAGGGACCTTCACTCTTGTAGACTCTAAACCTTCAAAAAGCGCGATTATGAATTCCAAATGGGTCTTTACTCCCAAAATGGACTCTGCTGGAAAAATCGAGCTTTTTAAAGGACGACTGACCGTAGCTGGATACAATGCTGTCGAACGAGTGGATTTCGAACAGAGTGACGCCAAAGTAGTGGGCAAAGAGACCGTCCGAATTTGTTTGGCACTAGCAGCCAGTAAAAAATGGTATGTCAGACAATTCGACTCGCCGAACGCATACCTAAACGAAAAATGGACCGTTATGTATATATGAGGATGTCGCAAGGACTACACCTGGCCCTTGATTTATTCGGCGAAGAGGAGCAGGATCTATATCATGAGTACAGCCAAGGTAACAAAGCTGTATGGTGCAGAGTAAATTTACCACTATATGGCCTAAAGCAATCTGGCTACTTATACTTTGTGGAGGTCTGTGAGGTTCTAGGTCAGCAGGGATATCAGCCAACGCGATCAGACCCATCATTGGGGGGGTTTAAAAAAATTCCGATGGCACCTTGGACCTGGTCATAGTATATGAGGACGATAAAATCGCGACGGCCTCTGACAAGCAAACTCTGGATATTTTGGAGGCAATTTTATTCAAAAAATGGTCAACAAAATCAATGCCAACAGCGGAATGGTTTTTAAAAATGAAATGGGATTTCTGTCCTCGGGAGTAGTCACCATACACCAACAAATCTACGTCAGCACATTACTCTAGAAATATTATTTGGAAAATGTTCAGCCGTCACCAGTACCCTTGCACAATACGGATTTGACACCATGTCATTCTGACAGGCCCGCCGGAAATATGCCCTATAGAGAACTCATCGGCGCTCTTCGATACTTAGCTGATGGTACGCGACCAGATATAACATTCGCCGTGAACCAATTATCCAGACACCTTGATAAACCACTCCTACGTCACTGGTGCGCTG